CCAAACTTAACAACCCCAATATTTTTCAAGCTTCAAAAGTCTATAAGATTCTCCTTATTCCCAATCATGTGACGAGAGCAACCACTATCGATGTACCATTCATTATCATATTGTTCGTCACAAAGTACCTGCGATCATTGAAAGAATTTATGTACCCAAGGCTTTTTGGGTCCTTGGAAATTAGATTGCAACAAAGATTTGAAAGAATAACTTTTGACTAAATCACAAACTTTAGTTTTGAGACTATTAATAATGTCCACATCTTCATTTGTAGGGATTGAAACATAATATTTTGTTTGTTTCGTATGTATACTGACATCACCCTTCGTATTCTGAGTTTGTGACTGTTCGGTCTTCGCTTTTGTGACTGGCATGCTTTTACCAAGACATTTGAATCATTTAATGACGAACTTCCATTTGAAGAAGTATTTACATACTTCTCATAAGCTTCGTTGATTTAATCTTTCGACTATTTACTTGATTGATAAATTTTTCCTCTTCCTTTAAGTCAGTGATCAATATTCTTTCGTGAAGTTATTCATTTTTCATGCAAAGCTTTCAATGTTTGTTTCTTCGTATGATTAGAAAATTTTGGGTTTTGAGGAACAAAATCAATTTTTAGTTTTGAAACAAATGATTCAACATAGGAAGTATCAACTGTTGATTTAAAATGTTGACGTTGAGAAAAAAACTTTGATGAATTAGAATTTAATGAATTATTTGAAATTTCTCTTGTAATGTTAGGTTTTGGCACTTTCGAAAACTTTGGTGTTGTTTTCACTTCAAACTTAGAATGAGTTTTTGAACGATAAACTTGTTCTCCTTTTGAAAGGGATGAATTTTTCACTTTGAAAATATATTTTGGTGATTTTGATTCAGACACATTTTTGCTTGGATGAGCAGGATTTTTCTTTTTGTCTAAATAATTTTTTGAATTCACAGACTTAATTTGTTTCGACAATTCAATTGACGTTTTTCGAGACTCGATTGTTTGCCAAAATATTTTATTTCTTGCTTTTCTTTTTGACCCCACTTTTCGTTTCCTCAAAAATTGGTTTGGTGACTTGTTTCTCAAGTTTTGATTTTTCAACCCATTTTCTCTGAGATTTTTGTCTTTAAAAAACATATGAATTCTTAGTTACGTTGTTTTCAGCTGTGCTTTGACATGCGAAGAAGCCTTCATCTAATGTTTTCAAATTGTCTTGTTCCACCAATTTCTTAAATTCTGGTTTAACATTTTCAACATTTCCAGTTGTTATGAACACTTGGTTTGGAAAGACAACATCATCTGTACACTTGAAAATTGGATCCACCACAATATTTGTTTCAAGGTAATGAGCACCTTGTTCTTTCAACACTTTTTCATACTTTTGTGTATCACCATACACTTGGTCAACTACAATTCGAGGAATTTCTTCACCTTTTGACAATACCTTTTCCTTCGAAAGTTTCTCATCTTTTTCATCATCACTATCATCTGTTTGACTGTCTTTGATTTCCACGAAGTCCAAATCACAAACTTTCGAAGTTGAGGGTTGATTAGTATCTTCTTAACCAACAAATCATTAACTTTTTCTTTCCCTTTAGATGAGGATGCAACATTAATAATAGACAACTAGGAACAATCAACATCCTAAAGATCACTAATTTCACTTACATTGTCATAATTATCTTCAATATCAGCAAAATTAGATTGAGCATCAGATGTTGAAGTTCCAGTCTTTTTGAAAATGTGAATTTGTTCAGACTTAGTCAAAGTATCATTTACAATTTGAACTAATTCAGTAGCATCAAGACATTCATCTAATTTGACTAATCCATATCTATATTTATCATTAGGAACTTTGTCAAATTCAACTATTTCTTTCTCACAATCATACAAATATTATCTACCTTAGCTCTTTCGTAAGCAAGAAAAGGCAATAACTTTCTATGTTGTTCTTTACTTATCTCACAAGAATGATGTAACTCTGTTAATTTCCCATACAATCTCTTAGCTAAATTATAGTAAATGTTTCTTTGTGCTAACAACAATTTTATTTCATTTGACAAATTATCCCTATCAACCATAATGTTCATAATTTGAAGTTCTAAACAATCTACTTTAGTGTTTTTCAAATCTAACTTCTTCGTTGTCTCTAACAACTGCATAGAAAGCATCTTAGCCTCATTGCTAGCAAACACCACAATTGAATCAAAATAAGTAACAGTTTCATCAAAAGATACCATTTCAGAATTATAAGCATGTACTGGAATATTAAAAGATTCAAGAATCTTAATAAGTTTCAACAAATGGACTCTTGATAAAGTTGACAAAGATGTACAGGTGTGTGACAGGTCCTTGTCTAATGGCATATGCTACCACATCTATAACATGAACCATCAGATTTTTGTGATGTCCCAGTATCATGCCTTGCCAATTTGCCCTTATCTTGTGTGCGGACATTGTTTCTTTGTGAACATTGGTAATTATTCCTTTTCTGGACACGACACGATTATTACGTTGTCCACGACCAGATTTATGGTTCTGATTATGGCTTTGGTTTCTATTAAAATAGCCACGACCTCGTCCTTGACCACTACCACGCCATCGTCCACATGTATTGTTTTAATGACCATCAATATTTGTAGCATTTGGTTCACGAAGTGCTCTGCAACGAGTAGACATGTATTCAGTTCAGAATATCTTGTGAACTTTTGCATCCGATATTGTTGCATCAAGGTAATGTTTTTTCATTAAATGTGGAGTAAGTTTTCTCCAACATATCTTCATCAGTAACTTCTTGTCCATAATACTTGAGTTGTGAACATATTCTAAACAAAGTTGAGTTGTATCCATTTAATTTCTTGAAGTCTTGAAACCTTAGTGTTCTCCAGTCATCTCTAGCATTTGGAAGTATAACTTCCTTTTGATGATCAAATCTTTCTTTCAAAAGATTCCAGAGAATACTTGGATCAGTAACATCAAGATATTCAAATTTCAACATTTCATCAATATGCTTATGAAGGAAAACTTGTGCTTTTGCTTTTTCTTGTGCCAAACAATTATTAAATTCATATATAGCATTTGAGATTCTTATGGACTCAAGATGCATTTTTATATCTATCATCCATGGCACATAGTTTTTCCCACTAACATCAAGTGCTGCAAACTCAAGCTTTACAATGTTGGACATATTGTAACTATAAATTTTAAAAAAGTAAATATTAAAATTCAAATCCATTTATTTCAATAAATATTACACAAAAAAGAAGCGGTAAAGCTAACATTACATAAAAGCGTAAAAGTAGATGAAATTTCATATTATCTTTGATGTTAAGGATTAGGATGAAAAGTAACATGACTATTATAGTCATGATTATCACAAGAGGATGAATCATCTTGAAGCTTGATTTCTTTAAATTGATTTGTTTTAAAGAAGAGAGAAATATTTGTTGTGGATAAAATAAGTAGGGTAAAGATGTTTATTTATGGTAAAAAATATACCCATTGTTTTTACTGTTTATAACCGTTACATATATATTTCCGTTGTGTATATATGTATATGTATTTTATAAATCATTTATTAAGATTTATAACTAAAACATAACTTTACTTTGTATAATTTTATTAATTAGAAACATATATAAATATTAGTAAATGTTTAAATAAAATTATGAAAAGTATCTAAAACATAAATAAACATTGACATGTATAAAAAACACTACTAGTAAAACATCCTTTTACGATGCACATTGCGTGTCGTAAAACGCTCAGACGACGCGCAAATGCGCGTCAAGGAAGACCCTGTCATAACGAGAGACGACACACTTTCGCGTGTCGTCTATTTACGACGCGCATTTACGACACACATTTACAACGCGCAATTATGACACGCAATGTGTATCAAGGAAGGCCCTGTCATAAAGGAAGACAACACACATTCGTGTGTCGTAACCTTAATACGCACGTGTTTATGACAAACAAAGCATATCAACGAAGTCCATGTCATAATGGAAGACGACACACCAATGCGTGCCGTAACATTACGATGTGCCTTTACGAATCGCAATGTGTATCATTAAATCTAATGTCATAAACGAAGATGACACGCATTTGCATGTCATAAATTCCAGCTGCCAATGACTATATACCTTTACGACGTGCATTTAGGACACACCTTTACAACGTGAATACACATAGTAAAAAGATAAATAAATATATACCAAAACATTAATTTTCATCTAAACATCAAAAAAGTTACATATATGTCAAATTACCTAAGGTACACTACATGTCAAGTTAGCTTAGTAACATTATTAAAAGTTAACAAAAACATGTACATGCATATCAAAAGATTACCTAGCATTACACCATATGTCAAAAGACCATACCTAGCATTTCACTGTTAACCATAACATTGTTTTGCAGATACATTGTCAAAAGACCACACATATCATCCATAAATGAAGCATGTAACAAACTCTAACCATTCTTCACGTATGTCATCGATATCATCAGTTGTGTACTCAACTTTGCCATCCCCGAGCTGAAATTTTCATATTTTTTTATTTATAAAAAATAGCATATTAATATATTCTGTAACAGTAAGTTGTTATATTTAAAAATAAGCATAAAATGTAAATTATTCTTTCTTAATAAAGGATTGTACTTTCAAATGAATGAAAAAACATTGTTATTTTTTGCATGTAACCTAATATTTCAATTATAATTGTGAAAGTAGGATGCTATAAAATGATCCTTTTTTTCAATTCCTTTCCTATTAAATTATAGTAATGAAAGTAGAATGCTATATCCTTACATTGTCTTTGACCAACACTTCAATTCCTTATTCCATTATCTCCTTCATGAACCTTAGCATGTAGTAGCCACATTCGGTAGATTCGGGCTAAACTGGATACTATGCAATTACATATAAAATGATTATTTCAATTGATCCAAAAAATAAAGGTAAAACTGCAATTTCAATAACGAATTAAGTGCTGATCGTAACATTAAATCAATTTAGTTTAACCCTTTTGTTGGATCCACTTTGTGTAGTGTACAGAACCATTGCCCTATAAAAAAAAATCAACAAATAGGTGTTTATTATATTCACATCAAATGTTTTGATAATCTATATTACTTACAAATTAACAATTTCCTTCAACTGCATATTGAAATTGCCATAACTCAAGGAATCAAGATAATAGCAAGTATCTGATTTCATGTCTAGTACACCCAATACCCAATGTCTTCTACAAAACCAACAAACAAAATTAAGTCAAATAACATAATTGCAGTCATTTTCAAAACAAAATATCAAAATCAAATCGAGGATTGTAGGGCATAAAGATGATGTCATTGCCCTTTCTACTAGACAATTGCTCTGCTAAACATCTACTTACATGGTTAAGCTTCTTAGATTTCCCTTTACGCGTACTTGGCGAGATTAATGTCAGGTTCACAAAGCAAATTCCATGATCTCTTTCTGGGGGGCCATACTTCATTTTGTTAAACAACACCTTGTTATCATACAAACACTAAATTCATTAAAAAAATTTGTTTTAAGATATAATGTTATTTAAATTAAATTTCTTTCACTTACATCATATAAGACACAATGACAGCACTAGTCAACTTATCCATTGTAAGAAACGCTTCAAAATCATCCCAAGTTAAGTATGTGTAACTATCGTACCCAAAAACATGGTTCTCACTCTGCACTTTTATAGAATCAACCTTTGTAACTTGTCCATCATCCATCATTGCAGTCATTTACAAAATACTACTCTTCTCAATCTTTATCCTTTTCTTCATCTGTTCTCTGGTCCAACTTCTTTGCAACGTCACATTTTGTTTCTCCTTCTTTTTATTCTTCTTTTCTATTCCATTCCCTTCTTCCATATCACCCCTTTCTTCCACATCACATGGTTTTTTTTGTTCATCAACCATTTTCATGTCCCCTTTTCTTTCTTATTACTTCCTATTTCTTCTTTTCAAGGTGTTGCACCTTTTTTCACTGGTGTTTCATCTTTCTTCACTGGTGTTGCATGTTTTTTCACAGGTTTCCCCACCAGTTTTCCCTACAAAATTATCAAAATTACAGAATGAAACACAAAACATTTAATGAAGCTGAAAAAGAACTCACTCAAATATAAGAAAATATAGGAAAACCAAGGGAAAATCTGTGAAAACTTTGTATGTTTTGAATCTGTGAAAATTACTAGGTCAAAGCATCATATAACCAAGTGTCTTGGCCAACTTAGTATGTGTCCCAGTGCATCTTTGACCTTCACAATGAACTCCTCTTCAAGTGGAAATGGTATTAAAGCTTCTCCTTGTAAAATTGTTTTCATCATAACATCAATGTTTCATTTGTTACATAAATGTAAAAAATAATTAAGATTCAATCTTCTAAAAAATGAAAATATATAAATAGTAATAATGAAAATATTTTTTAAAACACCCATTGCACTATACTTCATTATGGTTCCTTTAGTGACTACATTTGTAGCAAATCCAACCGCAAGAAGACATGAATTATCCTATCAAAATATAGTATGTTAGTTTGTAGAAAAAAAAATACTTTAAATATATTTTTCATAATTGTCTTCAAGGACTTACAAGTAACTCATCCCATGGTTCTTTTTAAACATCTTCAATGATGCCCCTTACATGACAACTTGCGGCTTCAGAAACATTAAGTACACCTCTTTTTAGTTTCTCCAAGTCATCTTCAAGTTTGTTGATTCGTTTATCCACCCTCTCGTTCTCAATCTCCAGGTAATACATAACATTCTTGGGTAAATAAAAGTACTGCTATCGAGTTATAAATTTACCCATCCCTCGTACACACACACACACGTTGTTCCTGAGTACCCACGACCTCTGTAAGCACATCATGTGTTCCACATGTAACCTCTCCAAAGCTTCCTGATTTCTGCAGCTCATCCTGTAAAAAATTAGGACAAATGTTAGAAAAAAATGGGACAAATGTTATTTTTTTTATATATTTGGCAATCAATGAAACTTATAATTTTATCAACAATCATCTTCACATCTTATTAATATCCTCCTGTCTTCAACTCTCTTTTTTCCATAACAATGTCCTATCAATCTCCTTTTTCGTCTTGCCAGTTTCTTGCATCTAAATTATCAAGAATAACAAAGTCACTTAACATAAATATATACAAATAAAATAACCAATACTTAGTGGGAATCATACAATGTCATTAATGAGTCTGGCATATCCTTTTCTGCTCAAACAATGATTGTATTTATGTTGTGAACGGGAATTTTTAGCTTTTGTACTTTTCTCCTGCATTAGAAACATTAAAATTGTAACTACAAACTTTTAACTTTCCACTTTTTTGTAATTGTATGGGATACAAATTCATATAAGAAAAGTTTAACAAACCTCCCACTTTTTTGTAACTCTATGGGATACAAACACTTTCCAACCTTCTTTCTTTACAAATGGATAATTTTTCGAAGGTTTAAATAGATTTTCCTTGGGATCTTTACTTCGGTTCTTAATGAACTTGACATATAGATAATGTTTGAAGTTTCTCCACTTCTTCCCGATCGATTGGAGAGTTTGCTTTTGGATCTTTGGGTCAACCATAAGCTTTTCCTAAAACATATAAAAGGGTTAGTCCATAACCAGGGACAAAAACAGAAACAATGGATAATATGACTTGGTTCAAAAACAGGGAAAAAACAAATATGAACAGGGACAAAAACAGATTTGAACAAAGGTAATAACAGGAAGAAACAGAGACTTACCAAAAAATATTGCCACAACCCTTCCCTTACTTCATCACTAACTTCCAACCAAGACTCATAGGTTATGGGAACCCTTGTTCTTGCAACCAAACCCTGAAAAGTAGATAGTTTTGTAGCTTCCTTTCCAACTGGGACACCTTTTTTTTATTGTAAGTTATTACAAGTTTCACTTTATTAGCTTTTGCCTTTGTTGTTGGATCTCTTCGTTTGGAGTCCTGATCATGATTAAAAGATGAATCAAATTCCATGTCAAAAAAACACAACCTGTTTCAACAAGATTCAAATAAAATTAAGTACATTTTTATTTGTTGTAGTTGGAAAAAAAATAATCACATTCAAAATCAATAAGAATGGAATTGTTAGGGCATATCGAATCACTCTTGCGTTATTTTTCTCATGGAAAGACCAAATCTTATAATTCTCATCGAATCCATGGGCAAACAAATGATAACAAACATTGTCAATTGAGTGGTGACACAAATTGATGCAATTTACAAAAGGGCATGAAATAACATCGAACTTTGGATTATTACTTTGTGCAAACTCTAGAAAAGCATTCACACCATTATCGCATGTTTAGGGAAAAAAAACTATGCAAAAACAAAATTGTACAGGGGCCAAAACTGTACATGGACAAAAAAATTATACACGGGCCAAAATTGTACATGGACAAAAAAAACTATACATGGGCCAATCTTGACATAAAAAACTATTTAGGGGCCAATCAGATGTCAAATACATGTTCAAGGGCCAATCCTTTACAAAATTTTATATTTGTATTTGTTGTACATGTGTAGGCTGATGCAAAAACTATGAAATTCAGAGACACGGTTTTGAAAACAGGGACAAAAACAAGTAAATGATTTTTTTTGTCCTTATGTAACTATGTTATAATAATTAAATAACATCAATATTTAGTAGTGTTTTTAGAATGTGTTTTATGGTTGTATTGGCCATTATTTGTTATGTTTTTTCCCGACTTTTTAACATATTTAATCGACATAAATGATCAAATTAAAGCAAAAAGGGATGAGAAAGTACTAACAAGCCAAAACTGTACAGGGACAAAAAAATTGTACAGTGACCAAAACTAATGTAGGAACAAAAACTATACACGGACAAAACTGATGCAGCGACCAAAAAATGTGCAAAAACAAAACTGTATAGGGTATCAATTAATTTTTCAGCATCCAGGTATTTTTTTTTAGTAAATTACTTTTTCAGCATGTTATTAGTATAAATCAATGTTTTCTTTTTATTGTAGTTCAGGATTGCATGTTGTTCATATTACTTTTTCAGCATGTTATTAGAGGTGGTTTAGTCTTTTCTTTAGTGAAGCTAACCCGTGTGCAAAAATCAAAGTTCTGGGTGAACGAAGAAGAGAAGCTAACATGTGTGGTGAAACTAGCTAACTTGAACAGATAGGTCTATGTGATCAGAAAACAAAGAATGCTGTGCACATGCAAGTGTGTGTAGGTTGTAGGTTTAATTGCATCGATGAATTATAGCAGTAGCATAATATACTTCATATCCAATTCTTCATGTTTCTTTATTCAATAAATATGTTATACTTTTGCGTTTAACCATCAATTTATTGCTAAGGTTTAGAACACATTTTCTTGACCCTAAGTCCTTTCGATTGCCTGATTCATATGTATGTGTATATGTTTCTTTATACTAGTAAAATTTTGAATTTGAGCTTGTTTGAATATTTTTATGTGTTTGTTTTAAAATATTATGAACTTTTACAGAAAGATATATTAACACATGTTAGTAAAGGAAAATTAAGAAACAGAGCACTGTACATTAAAGCCAAGCAATACTTGAAGTAAACTTTGAAATTTAGAAATAATCAATATAATTGTAGAAAAATAAGTCATTATTTCACCAGGAGACATTTTTCTACCAAATTGGCAATCTTTAAGTTATGGTTCTTCCATATCAAAAAGAGTACAAATATACATGTCATGGTTTTTAAGATGAAATGTTGAAATTGATGGGTTAAGGAGGTTGGAATTCAATTCCGCAATAATTTGCAACCAAATGTAGGATTGGAATGGAGTTGAATTCCAATTCCGGTCAAATCCCACATAATCCGACAAACCAAACACCTGAAATCCTACAGGAATATGCATTTTCCATTAACTTTGTTTGGATAAATTATCAAATTTATTAAGGTTAGGGGGTAATCTGTGAGTTTCAAGATGCTTAGGGGATGTTCATTTATTTGAAGTGGTAGGGATTGGCAAAGAAGTTTTTCTGTATGATATGTAGTCTCAAGGATTGACTCATTCAATGAAACTAATGAAATCCTATATGCTCTTGTTGTATAAGTACTATAATTGTTTCAAGAACATAATTATGCTACTTGTTTGTCATCTTTTATACTATCAACTTATGATCTTGTGAAGGCATATATGTATGTTTGAGGATTCATGTCCATAATATTTAGAGTGAGAGATACTTTTAACCATTTTTCTACGAAATTGGCAATCTTTAAGTTATGGTTCTTCCATATCAAAAAGAGTACAAATATACATGTCATGGTTTTTAAGATGAAATGTTGAAATTGATGGGTTAAGGAGGTTGGAATTCAATCCCGCACTTATTTGCAACCAAATGTAGGATTGGAATGGAGTTGAATTCCAATTCCGGTCAAATCCCACAGAATCCAACAAACCAAACACTTGAAATCCTACAGGAATATGCATTTTCCATGAACTTTGTTTGGATAAATTATCAAATTCATTAAGGTTAAGGGGTAATCTGTGAGTTCCAAGAAGCTTATGGGATGCTCATTTCTTTGAAGTGGGAGGGATTGGCAAAGAAGTTTTTCTGTATGATAGGTAGTCTCAAGGATTGACTCATTCAATGAAACTGATGAAATCCTATTTGCTCTTTTTGTATAAGTACTATAAATGTTTCAAGAACACAATTATGCTACTTATTTGTCATCTTTTATACTATCAAGTCATGATCTTGTGAAGGTATATATGTATGTTTGAGGATTCATGTCCATAATATTTAGAGTGAGAGATGCTTTTAACGATTTTACTTGGCTTTAGCTTCCTTGTAAAAAGTCTAACATTAGTTCTATTTGTTGACCCAGTATGTTGGTTCAACATTTGAATGATGTTGGTTCCATACCATTACAATTTACTTTAAAAGGTTGACATATAGGATGAAAGGAAAGTTTTTGGATCACGTGGTCAGAATCTGAAAGATGAAATGCTTGGCAAAAGTCCTCCCACTCCATTGACTACTAATGGAAAGGCTTCTACTTCTACTCCTAACCCCATCAAGATAGTGAAAAGGGATGCCAAATCATTAAGACTTGTGAGTATCAAATTTCGCTTGCTTTCATATATATATATATATATATATATATATATATATATATATATATATATGTGTGTGTGTGTGTGTGTGTATAGATATTTATTGTAACATTTGTTTGGCTTGACTTGATTTGATATGTTACAATATATATATATATATATATATATATATATATATATATATATATATATATATATATATATATATATATATATATATATATATATATATATTGTAACATTTATTTGGCTTAATTTGATATGAGTATTTAATAATAGGGATTTTCTAATATGTGCCCTAAGGGCACATATAAGAAGTATTAATTAATCATAATTATTACCATAATTAAATATTAAACACATTAATTATAAGAAATGTTACCATAATTAAATATAAAATTCATTAATAATCTCCATAATTAATGTATTTCACATTTAATTATGGTAATATTTTTTATAATTAATATTTCTTATATGTGCTCTTAGGGCACATATTAGAAAATCCCTTAATAATATTGGTAAAATAAAATGAATGAAATCTTGTAGAAATTGGCAGTGGGGGATATCCTAGAAAAGATAATGGTTGCTATGCATGCGGTATGCCCCTATACCTCATTTTCGACATATCGGAAGGTAAGGATGTCAACTTGTCGCAACTAGTATGCCCCT